ATGCCAAAAAAGTATATATTTCAAAAGGAAATGGAGGAAAAAAACATAGACATTGGACTAGGTGGAAAATCCCATAGAAAGTTCGTGTAGAAAATCCTATATAGCAAACAATTGTGACAATTAATCGAAACTGTTAGGAGGATAGAAAATACTAATTGTATATAAAATGCATAATGATACACTCACAACTTTGTACTTCCTCTGTATGTTATTTTCTATAGAGAGCCGTCCATTAGATTTGTATATTCGGCAAATTTGAAAAAGAAAAAGAAACCTTCAATTTTTCAGGGGTTTTTGTACAAAACTCTTCTAAGGTTTGTAAATTCTATAAAACCCTTGGATTTTGAGGGGTTTAACAAAACCCTCCCAAAGCTTGGAACTTTTCATAACAAGGTTAAAACGTAACACGAAATGATCAAAAGATCCTCTTTTTTTTTCATCATTCGGGGGATAAAAAATAGGGCTTTTTGTTTTTAGGTCCATTTGTTTACCTAGCTTTATCTTTAAACCCAAGAATTATTAGGTGTATCTTTAAACCCAACTTTTTTTTTTGTATTTATCTTTAAACCCAATTTCAAAATATAATACTCTCATATGTGGGTCCTCCTATATAAGGAAATTGGGTTTAAAGATAAATACAAAAAGAAAGTTGGGTTTAAATATACAACTTATAATACTTGGGTTTAAAGATAAAACTAGGTAAACAAATGGACCTAAAAACAAAAAGCCCTAAAAAATAAGAATACGGATGAAATTTCAATTGCTGACTAGAGTACAAAAAAAACATGTCTACTTTCTGTCATGTAAGGAGTACATGACAAGTTAAACTGAACAATGTCATTAATGATAAAATAATGATAGGGGCACACCCTCTACCACACTCCCAATCACACCATCTCTCTCGCTACAGTGCACGGGCCCACTTGAGATTTTTTAAAATCTCACACACCATCTCTCTCGCTACAGTGCACGGGCCCACTTGAGATTTTTTAAAATCTCAAGTGGGTCCCGTGCACTGTAGCGAGAGAGATGGTGTGATTAGGAGTGTGGTAGAGGGTGTGCCCCTAGTGCCTCTCTTAATGATAGCAAAGGGAGACAAGTTGACAGGGATTTTATTGAATTTACAAATTGGATTTTTCTATATTAGTCTAGTAATTCTTTAATATTTTGAAATTAGTCCCTCAAATCATGGGAGTTGCTATGGGTCACTCAATTCTTATGTTATTTTGGAACTAGTCCCTCCCATGATGAAAATTTCTATTAGGTCCCTCAATTTATGACTTATCTTAAAATTAATCCCTCCAATCAGGATTTGAAATAGCAATTGGTAGGATTCATTTGAAATGGATTACGCGAATCTACAAGCTAATAATCCGCAACACTAGATTTCACTTTGCATTCCCTCCACGTGCTAGTTCTACTATTGATCGGAGAGACAAATTTGACAATAAGTTAATGAATTGAGGGGTCCTAATAGCAATTTCTATGGTTTGAGGGATTAATATATAAATAACCTGAGAATCGAGGGGCCTCATAGCAATTTCCATGATTTGAGGACTAATTTCAAGATACTAAAGATGAAGGGACAAATACAAAAAAAAATTACAATTTTCGTCCGAGCTTCTGCCGCACATCACAATGTTTAGGGGTTTCTTTTTGGAATACCCCATCTCTCTTTTCTTGTATTAGCTAGGAAAAATTCTTTAAGGACCCAAAATATGAGACCAATAGATGGGACAAGTAAGATGTCCCCCTCTTATTGGATAATGAGTTGGCTATCATTAATGATGGCCAACTCATTATCCAATAGGAGGGGGACACCTCACTTGTCCCCTCTATTGGTCCCATATTTTGGGTCCCTGTAGCAAAGCTCATTAGCTAGAGATCCTTGAGTACGTGCAGAGTTCACAGCTAAGAGCCAATCAAGAGCCCATGTGCGGTGCGTCAGTTCCCAATGCGCATCTGATGCACTGGCTAGTTGCACTGGAAGATGCGGAGCTGTCGGGCTCCAATCATTTTATTCACAGGTCAGAAGACAATACAAATTATCCTCTCGATCGGGTTTAATCATGTACAGTACTATGTTTTTTAGTGGTTTGTTTAAATTTTTTCAGGTTGTTTTAGGTGTTTGTTTACGTACGTAGTTGTTGAGAAGTAAGTCGAAGAACTTGTTACTCTTGACTTCTAATCACATGGAAAGCTAGTAGCAACGCGTACTTAAAGAAGAACAAATCATATCGTACATATGTTTGTGAACCTTTTTCATGAATCATTATTTATGACAGGTGAGTCGATGCTCCGCTAGGGGGGATGACCATCTCAATCCTCTAACAAAGCTCTAGATGATTACAATTCTATCCAAGTCACTTAAATACACCAGTGAATTTAACATTAATCCTCTTGCATTTTGAAGACCGGATATGTCTTAATTTTGTTTTGAGAAGTCAATTTATGTGCTCTTATATTTAATATGGATAATTTCACAAAACTCCCTGAACTTTACGGTGTGTTGTGCAAACACCGCTTCGACTTTGTAAAACTTCACAAAACCCCTTGATATCGTTAAGGTTAGTTAACATGTCGCGTGCTTCTCATGCCAGAAGTTTTTAATTTTGATTTATACAACCTAACCCGGAATCGAATCCATGACTGTAGGAGCAACATTGAAACCTCTCAACCGTCTGGATCACCCGCGATGGGTATACCAATTTGTTTTCCCCCTAGTACCTTATTTTAGTCCCTCCATATTTTTTCAGAAGGGATTTGTTTTAGACATGTCATCGATCTTACGCTTTAGTTCTAATTAATGATAAATTAACGACTATCGGGGGTTCTTTCCAAACTACTCAAATTTTGAGATGGCATTGTGAATTTTGCCCTATTTATGGACTCATATCAGATTGATTAAAAATTCAATTTTTATGGTTCGAACTTCCATAGCTCTTGTTTCTATATAAAAGAACAAGAAATATTATATATATATACTTGCTATGATAGTTTGCTTGACGTGGAGGGTCACACATTCTGCCACTGATCTGACAATAAGCAAACTTTACAAATTCAGTTGAATGAGTCCATAATTTATTGGATAAGTTGAACTCACATATGTATAAAACTTGGCTCCATGTTCAATAATGAGTCGTGAGGTGATGAGGTGGAGATATCCGGTTCCATTAGGTGTGGGGTTCACCGGAAGAAGATTTGAGTCATAAGGTGATGAGGTGGAGCTCGATATCCGGTTCCATTAGGAATGGGGTTCACCAGAGGATTCTGAGCACAAATATGGACCTCAATTATTGGATTATTTTATGTCAATTATTTGAAGTAGAAAATATTTATAAACAAAATCCTATCTTATGACCGAATATAGCAGTTAATATGAATCAAATGCTAGCTCGAGAAGGAAGATAGCTATTAATAAAATTTTAAACCGAGACTACTTTATGGTACTTTCTTCCCTGAACAACCAATACAAAATGTTTCCAAATCCAGTTCTAGGTTCTTTGAATATATATTGACGGAATTTATGCGAATTAACGAATAAAATAACTAGCTATGAATAAATAAAAAAATTTACTGCCCGTTTTAGGCCAAGTTTTCAACCGAGTATGTTAGTTTCTTCATGTACATGTGAAATTTTCTCATCTCATGACAAGTGCCTCTAGAGTGAAGAATTAAGGTTCTCTTTCGTGCATATGGAAGTTAGCTACAGGGATTTTTGGCATATTTGGTTATGTCACAGTCAACTAACTACATTATCTTTCTCCACAAATTCGGGGTTGCGTCTATTTTTAGCCACTCTAATCTCTTGGATCTCTCTAATAATCAATTAATCTTGAGTTATTAGAGGAAGTACTATCACAAAAGCTACACGTATATATCTTTAAGAAAAATAACGTTCCTCTTCTCGGTTGCTTGTCTTCTTTCCTCTAATTGTTTTAGAAAATTCTACAATTGAATAATCAAGTTGTGTATGTAACGGATAACTGTGGGGCACTTGTCAAGAGATGAGAAAGATAGAGATAAATAAAAAACAAGCAGGCTTCTCCTACTTAATTACAGTGATTTCTCACATTATCTCTCTACTCTCACATCTCCAATTGAGTGACTAGGGACAGGCCGTTTAAAAAAATTAATCTTTAACTAATTCACCCTCTCTATGAAGAGAAATATTCTTTGATCAGCTTTTGTATAATGACCTATAAATAAATATATTAATATATTAAAACTCCTAGCGTTAACAATATAAATGAATTTATTAATTGACAGGCAAAAGAAGTTTCGAGAAGCAAAAGTTTGTTCACGCACATAAAATGTGAGAAGAGCTCTTACCATATAATCATGAACAATACATCCCCTCAATTTATAATTTTGGAAATTATTATTTCCTAAAAAAATTAAAATGAATTCTCCCCCATAAAAAGCATTTCTCTTCTCATTAAATCCCCACTCCATGTGTAGACCAACTAATAACCCGGTCCCGTCGCCCTCCGCCCTCAAACACGGGTCCCACCCTCCCCGGGTCCCACTGCATGGCCCTGCCACGTCATCTCCTTCCCTTCTCTTCCTCATGCCCGACTTCAGACCACGTCCCCTTCTATAAATACCCCGATAACTCCCCCCCAATTTCTCTCATCACCAACAAAACCTAATCAACTTCTTTCTTTCTCATTTCGATCCGCATTCTGCCTTCCCGCGGTGACCGTAACCATGGCCTCATCACGTGACGTAGAGTCGCCTCCCACGTCCTACGCTCCCCTCCCCTCCGATGACGAGCAGCGGCCCGGATCCGCTCTCTCCGCGAGGCAGGCTGAGGCTGATCGCCATCGCAATGCCTCGCGATTCTCCTCCTCGCCCTTGCGGCGCCCTTTTCCTGTCGGGTTCTGGTCCGGTAACGGATCTTGTTGCGCGGTCGCGAGGCCCGGATACGATGCCGGAGATTAGTACGGACCGATCGGGGGAGTGGAGGAGGGAGTTTCGTCGAAGTCGTCGGGGGCGGGCCCGGCCTGCTGACGTCAGTTTCGCACGGGCAGTCACCCGTGGACGAACAAGATGCTGTCGTGGCAGAGGACCGGGTTCCATTTCCAGCCTGAGAAGAACTGGATGAACGGTAAAAGCAAAAGATTCACCGTTTTATTTTTTGAATTTTTAGTTATATATTTTTAAAAAAAAAAATAATCTGCGGAATCTGATGTTCTATTTTTTGTGTCTGCGGCGGGCGATTGGTGTTTCCCTTCGGCGTCGGTTATGGTTTGAACTTTTCTCAGACCCCAACGGTGAGGACCACGTGAATCTCTCTTTTGCCTTTTTTTTTTACTTTTTGCACATAAGTCCCTCGAAATGCCCTATTTACAATTCTCCGCAAAGCTCCAATTTTCCAAACAAAAACGAGGACAAATTTGAAGTCCCGCGAGCAGGGATTATTGCTGATCAAGCAGTTTCTGGATTGGCTAACGAAGAGGGATTAAAATTATTTGATTACTATCCCCCCTCGCGGGCGCTCCGAATATATAGTTAAAAAGGTTCCAATATAGCTCCCACGATCTTAGTTTGATTCCGGACTTAATTATCAAAATAAAAAAATGTTTGACTAATCAAGAGTCTTACAATCATTCCGCAAACTCGTGCCTATTTAATAGAATACTTGGCCACTGGATTATGTTTCTTATCCACGATTGCTTGACTCTGACTTTGCCCACATCCAGGAAGTTGGGGTGTCCAGTTTGGCCACGAGATGATTGTTTGATTCCTGGCCCACAATTGCAGTGTTTATCTCTCAAGCTAGATGTTTGACCTAATCCATGCTCCTCCCTTCCTAGCTTCCAACGTAATTCTCTTTTGCACCCGAACTACCGAATTAGGATGTTCCAAACTTACGGCCCAAGCAACATAATATAATATATTTGGTCGCTATTTTTGGTTTGCGAATAAAATTGATTTGCTTCGTGAATCGTAATCTTTTAGTATCTCGCATAAGTTAACTGATAATTAATTAATTAAATAAAAGCTCAAAAAGGTTTCCAAGACTGGCTATTAATTAACATATAGTTAATCCTCATTTAAATTACACGTACGTGTACAGGTCCGTTGTACTACAAAGGCTGGTACCATTTCTTCTACCAATACAACCCGAACGCCGCGGTGTGGGGCGACATCGCATGGGGCCACGCGGTGTCCAAGGACCTCCTCAGCTGGAGGCACCTCCCCCTGGCCATGGTCCCCGACCGCTGGTACGACATCGCCACCAACGAGTCCGTCCAGGTCCAGAACCTCGCCGTGCCCGCCGACCTCTCGGACCCCTTGCTCCTCGAATGGACCAAGGTTGACGATGCTAACCCCATTTTGGTCCCGCCTCCTGGCGTCGGGGCGACGGACTTCAGGGACCCGACCACTGCCTGGTAACGATTCTCTGTTAAGCTCTTTTTTTTTTAAATCCCCTATTTTGTTGCGTAACTTAGTTCGGCGATGTATTAACTACGGGCAGAAGATAACTAATTTCCTAGGTGCGATTAGGAATATTATGACAAATTCCCTGAAATAAGTTAATATCAATCACACGAGAGCATGAAAATTATCAAGAACACATGAACACAAAGATATATGTGGTTCGGCTTCTAGTCTAAGTCCACGGGCGAAGGAGGAGAAAATTTTTACTAATTGTGAGGAATACAAATTGGGGTGTAACCAAGGGGAAGGGAACTCCCTTCCCTTCCCTTCCATTCTCTCACCTAGTTTCTCTTAACTTCCCTTTACTCCCTACAAATCCAAACAAAACTTTAATAGTCCAAAGTTATGTATTTACGAGTCTTTTAGTATAAAAATAGTATAACATGATCTTCTGATTAAACTCCTCTAATCCTTTTCGTCAACCGCAACAGGTTTGAGCCTTCGGACTCCACATGGCGCATTGCCATCGGCACGAAAGACGCCGACCACAGCGGCGTGGCCCTCGTCTACAGCACCAAGGACTTCCTGAACTACACCCTCCTCCCCGGCACTCTCCACACCGTCAAGCACGTCGGCATGTGGGAGTGCATCGACTTCTACCCCATCGCCACCTCAGGCGCCGGCGCAAACCGAGGCCTCGACCCCTCCGTCCGCCCGTCGAAGCTCGTGAAGCACGTGCTGAAGGAGAGCTCCGACGACGACAGGCAAGATTGGTACGCGATCGGGACTTACGATCCTGATACCAACAAGTGGACCCCTGACGATGAGAGTCTTGATGTCGGGATTGGGTTGAGGTACGACTTGGGCAAGTTCTATGCGTCCAAGACGTTTTATGACCAGGAGAAGAAGAGGAGAGTGCTTTGGGGTTGGATCGGGGAGAGTGACAGTGAGAGTGCTGATATTCTCAAGGGCTGGGCTTCGCTTCAGGTACTGCTTTCACTTTGTTTTTTAAACTGTAAATTAAATTTGAAAAATCTCTACAAAACATAGCTCATGAGTAAAGGCCTCACAATCTAGTGATGGGCTTCAAGTGCTCTGAGCATAACTTATGGCGTGTGACATTTTAGCATGATTTAAGTTGGCCCAAAGCCCAAAAACATATATTCTAATATTGATTGGTGGTGTTTGTGCCGGCCCAATTTTGTTTAAAATCTCCAGCAACTTTTGGGCCGAAGGCATTTCTTGGGCCAGCCCATGCCCACCCTAACTATTTAATATGGAGTTACAGTCTGACTTAAAATGATCTGATATGCGTGGGGAGGGTTCATCTCCTAAAAAAAAGCATCATAATCCAGACCGTTAGAAGTTAAAAATAAAAAGGAAAAAGAAACCAGATTTTATTTAATGCCGTGAGCCTTAATTGTTGGGCATAATTATCTTTTTTTTTTTTAATAAATCTTGCTTAGCAACTGTTAGTTTACACTCGTGTCCCCTTTTCAAATGCAGGGCATTCCTCGAACCGTGTTGTACGACTTGAGAACCGGCAGCAACCTCATCACATGGCCCATCGAGGAGGTCGAGTCCCTACGCTCCAACCTCCACGATTTCAGCGGCATCACCATCGACAAAGGCTCCACCTTCCACCTCGACGTTCACGGCGCCGCTCAGGTACCTATCGATTTCACATCCCAGGGCTCTGTCTCGGAGTTTGCATAAGACCGAATCGAGGCTTGGTCCTGGTCTAGTTTTAGATTAGTAGAATCAGAATAGAACCAGCTTGATGGTTAACTTTTGCCTAGGAAAAACTTTGGCCAACCCCGGTCTAGTTTTCCTCGGTCCGATCTTGAAAGAATGCCAAACATGCCCCGTACGACCCTTTCCGAAATCAAACCGAACAAAAACTCAAAACTCATCGTTCCTCTTTTCTTGGTTCTAATTAGCTTGACATCGAAGCCGAGTTCAAGATCAACGAGGAATCCCTGTCGGCCGAGGCCGAGAACGGGGCGGGCGTCATGTACAACTGCAGCGGCGCCTGCTCGTGCTCGCGAACAGTGATCTGACCGAGCAGACCGCGGCCTATTTCTACGTTAGCAGGGGAGTTGACGGCGAGCTCCAGACTCACTTCTGCCAGGACGAAACGAGGTAAAAAGAATTTGCCTCAAAATTAAGCTTGTAGTCTAGGTTGTGATCTATTTGAGGGTTAGCTAGGGTGGTTGATTGTGATTTCGTCGTGATAAATGCAGGTCGTCGAAGG